AAAAATCTGCGCGAACCCAACACCTCCAGCGACAACAACGACGGTGACGACGTGATGATGTTTTCGCAACCACCAAGGTGTTCATCTGGTGTTTTCCATTGACTTGACGTCAAGAGAAAGAAGGCGGGTCCGGCGGGTCCGGCAGCAAGCGGTAAGGTAGACAGACTCGCATGGGACATGACTTGCTTGACTCGCGACTCAGTCTTGCTTGGGGGTGGACGGGGACTTGGGACTTGGGGATGGGGGAGGGAGGGGACATGACATGACTAGTAGGGAGTCTTTCTTTCCTCCAGTCTTGGTTTCTCCAACAACATCATCAACCACACCAAAACCATCGAAACCCACAGCAAACGACATATCATGGAAAAGTAAACAAAACGTACCTCTGGGAGGGGCTTCTCGAGCTGGGCCGAAGCAGCATTGGTGGTGACGGACCTCCTAGCGGCGATCGAGGGAATAACGAAACGGGGAGCAGGAGCAGCAACACGGGCGCGGATGGGCGCCGCTACCCTCGTCGATAACCGGGCTGCGCGAGAAAACATTTTGGATTATGTTTTGTCTCTCTCTTCTCTGGGAATTACGTTGCAAAAGGGAAAAGTTGGGGGTGAATGACGGAGACGGGAAAGAAGCGGAGATGGGCGAGTGCAGAGTGAGGGACGGACGAGACGACGGGACGACTGAGCAACAAAAGCAAACTGGCAAACTGAAAATCCTTGGGAGTGTGGAAGGGTCACGAATTGATTGATGGGCTCCGATGGGGTAGGCGGGCGAGCCAGCGGGCAGGGGCGGCAGCGGCAGGGCAGGACTGGGTGCGGGCAGGGCAGGTGTGCACCACAGGCGCACGCAGCACAGTCAGGGAACAATTGGAGAACGGCTCACAGCGAGGGCACCAGCGCCGATAAGGGTAGCGTCGGGTACGTGTGTTACAGTACGCTGTGGCCCGGGGGTTTTTTCTGGCAGGTCCTCCAAGTGTACTCTTCACTACAAGAGCTCCCGTCTCTGTCCGCTTGATATTAGAGAAGCGACATGGCAGGTATCTTACTGGCGCGATAGAAACATCCAACAAGGGTTCATGGTACCTGCGGTCGTTCTCCGGAGCTCCAATTTGGCGCTGTCAAAAAAAGTTAGATGGATCTCCCTCTCGCGGTCGAAGACCTAGCTTTGGAGGAAGGGGAATGGAGGGGAAGGGGGCAAGGAACGTCGGAAAAAGTCCACAGTCCACAGACAGGGGGGCGAGGCGAACGAGTGTGTTGAGCAAGAAGCTTAGCACGCACTAACTGAGTTTAGCAGGGGGCAGGGATCAGGTGGGGGAACAACGATTGAAAGTTTGTTGGAGATATCATCGCCGGGCAACGACAAATGACAAATTATATGAGACCCTTTTGACCTCCATCATCACGGTCAAAGGTCTTGTTAAATTTGTTTCGGCCAGCTGAGGGATGATATTACACTATCTATGTTTTCGTTCATCGCTTCAACGGCATATCACCGGTCACTACCCGTACAACGGGGCAGTTAGTTGCCGGTCCAACTTCGCCGTTCGAGGCTTCAGGTTCGAGCCCTTGAGTTTGCCGTCATCCCCCCTCGGCTCCATCACGAACCCCATCAAAACTGGAGTCCGGGTCCTTAGAGCTTAGACATTCCGGAATGCCCCACCCAAACAACCGCCGCCGTCGCAGACCGCACCGCAGTGCCGCCGCCGCCGCTTTGCCTCACGAACTGAACGAACTCTAAACTCAATCGGGCATGATTGCTTATCAGTTTCTTACACACACTACAGTTTAAACGATGAGCGTGGCATGCAGGTATGAGTAATCAACATGGTCGTTCTGTCTTGGTATGTAGGGGATTCTATACTATGTTGACATCCTCTAACGTGCACTTCCGGCATGGACTCGAATTGCGAATAGCCTCCTCATCGTCATAACAGTCTCCAGTCAAGCATATCAATGACGCCAAGGGTCCAGGGCAAAGGCACGACAGTCTTGGGTCCCGGTTCGGCGACGTTTGAATCATCATCCATCATCACTACTGAAAGAATAAGAATAATAATGATAATAACAATAATAATAATAATA